TATACATACATATCTAAATAAATATCTAAATAAATGTGTGTGTGTATACACACACACACACACACACACACATATACATACACAGTGTACATATATGTATATATACATACACACAAACATATACACACATATACATTGTGTGTGTGTGTATATACACACATACACATGCATATATACATATACACATACATACATGTGTATGTGTGTGTACGGATGTGTGTACACATACATGTGGGAATTTATTTGTGTATTTCTACACCTGAAACCTGTCACTTCTCTGTCAGGAAGTGGATGGTGTGTTAATGTCATTAATTCTTTGGAGTCATGAGTGGTCATTTCATTAAACCTAGCTCTTATAGATTTCCAAGTTGTTTGTTTTTACAATGTAATTGCTTTTTTGTAAGCTGTTCTGGTTTTTTTCATTCCATTCTTTATCAATTTATGAAAATATTTAGAATGGACTATTTTATGTTAATATTGTAGTAAAAATTGTTATTCTAGTTCTGCTTATTTCACTCATCAATTCATTTTTTCATGTCCTTTCAAAATCATCTCTGTCCTTATTTCCTATAATGCAATAGGAATCTATCTCATTCATATTGCACAATTTATATAGGCTTCCTTAACTATTGGGAAAACCTTTGAATTTCCACGGTGTTTTGCTACCACAAAAGGAACTGCTATAAATGCTTTGTATATATAGATTTGCTTTCTGTTTATTTGATCTTTGGTATAATATGTAGTATAACTCATCAAAAGGCAAACACAGTGTACCCATTCTCAGCTCCAGCAACAGTGAATCAATGTGCCTCATTTTCCCACATCCCACCTCTTTAAAGTTTATTATTTTCTTTTTTCAGATTCATTTTTCCCAATCTGATGATTGTGTTGTGGTAAATTGCTTTAATTTAAATTTCTCTTATCATTAGTGATTTAAGCATTTTTATATTGCTGTAGATTATCTAGGTTTCTTCCCTTGAAAACTGTTGATTCATATTCTAAAACTATTTATCAATAGGTTGCATTTATATTTTTGAAATGAGATGTGTATTAAAGGAACTTCTTACAAATATTTTCCCCTAAGTCTTTTCTTTACCATTTAACTTTAGTTTTATTGGACTTTTAGAGCAAAATCTTTTTTTTAAATTTTATTTAATCTAAATTGTCTATCTTATTTTTTCTGGTCCTTTCTATCTTTTGATCATTAACTTTCTATCCTCCTATCCACAAATCTGAGAGGCATTTTTCCTTGTTTCTCTACTTTGTTGATGATATGACTTTTTATATCTATGTCACATATCCATTCAGAACTTATCTTGGTATGAGGTGTAAGGTATTGGTCTAAATTCAATTTCTTTCATACTGCTATATGTTGCAGTCTTTGTATTTATGAAATACTAATGATCCATTTCCTTCCGTATTTTGTTTACCATATCTGTTCGCTTGCCAACTTATTTATTAATCAGTACCAAATTGTTCTGGGAATTAGTGCCCTGTAACATAGCTTGATATCTGGCCCTGCTAGGCCCCCTTTATCTCCTACTACTTTTTAGTATTACCATTTAGATTCTTGACCTTTTTTTGCCTCCACATAAATTACATTATTATTTTTTCTAGATCTCTAATATAATCTTTAATGTAATTTGTCATTTGATTTGGCATGGCATTAATCAGTAAATTAATTTTGGCAGGGTGTTCATAAACGTTATATTGACTCATCCTGCACAAGAGTAATTTATTTGTTTCTTTGTCTATATCTATCTATCTATCCATCCATCCATAGGTTGTTATCCTTCACTTTTGAAGAGACCAAAAAGATATCTCTATACTGGAGTCAGGTTTTAGTGTGTCTGACTGTGGCTGCTCAGACCGATATGAGCTCATAATGTACTATCACAGGTCTGGCACAAATAGTCTGCATGAACATTTGGGGTGAATTCTTTTGTTTGTGTATCTTGCATTTTACTTGAGCTATTTCTATTCTACTTTGATCATAGAATGCAGTATCTTTTCTGATGTGCATTTGCCACACTGAGTGGTCCTGTACCAGTGTCTCCCATGTCACATAATCAATTCCAAAGTTCTTAAGAGAGACTTGAGAGTGTCCTTGTATGGCTTCTTCAGACCACCATGTGAATGTTTGTCCTGTGTGAGTTCTCTGTAAAATAATCTATTTGGCAAGTGTACATTTTGCATTTGAACAATGTGGCCAGCCTATCATAGTTGTATTCTCTGAAGCAGAGTTTGAATGCTTGGCAGTTTAGTTTGAGAAAGGACCTCAGTGTCTGATATCTTATCCTGCCAGGTTATCTTCAGAATCTTCCTATGACAATTCAAATGGAAGTGATTTAGTTTCCTGGCATGGTGTTGGTATACCGTCCAAGTTTCAGAGGCATACAACAATGAGGTCAGTTTGATAATCATTCTAATATCTCTTGTCTCCCATTCTTTCTTTCAGAGACTCCCAAACACTGAGCTAGCTCTGGCAATGCATGTGTCAACCTTATTGTCAATGTGTACATCCCTGGAAAGTATGCTACCCAGGTAAATGAACTTTGCACAGCATTCAAAACTTCTTCATTAGCTGTAACTGATGGTTCCATATGTGGATGTGTGGTGGTGGCTGATGGAGCACTTGTATCTTCTTGCTGTTAATTATTAAGAAAAATTAGCACAAGCAGCATAGAATCAATCCACACTTTGTCGCATTTCAGCTTCAGAGGCTGTGTTGAATGCAAAATCATCTACAAACATAACATCATGGATCAACACCCCTTCTACTTTGGCCTTGGCTTGCGGTCTTTTCAAGTTGAAGAATTTACCATCAGTACAGGAGCTGACCCTGATGCCATGTTCATCCTCACTGAAAGCATTTGACAACATGGCTGAAAACATCATGTTAAAAAGCATGGGAGCAAGCAAGCACACAGCCTTACTTCACTCATACATACACACAAATACACACACCCATATTTGTGTGTTTCTGAAAATAATGGTTTATAGTTATATTTTTAAATGCATATCTTGGTAGATAGACTCCAAGTATTTTATAGCTTTTGTGTTTATTTTAAATAAAATTTCTCTTTTAATTTGTTTTGGCTAAGTTTCATTGTTATTATAAAGGAATTTTGATGATATATGTGTATTTATTTATATTCTATGAGCTTATTGAAATCATTATTTCAATTAATTTTAGTTGAGACTTTGGGGTTTAAGTATCATATCATCTGCAAAAAAAATGATAATTTTGCTCTTTCTTTACCTATGCTTAGTTCTCAATTTATTTCTATTTACTGTAGCAAAGATATGTAGTGCTATGTCAAATAGAAGTGGTTACAAATATCCCTTCCTTTTAATGGAGCTGTTGGTTTTAGATATTTGTTATCATTTTAAGGAAAGCAATATTTTCCTATGATGTCTAGTATTTCTAACAGAAATGATTATATTTTGTCCATTTTCTTAATCTATTAATATATTTATTTCTGTTAATTTTGTTATTACATGGTCAATTAAGTTAATGGTTTTCCCAATATTAAACCATCCTTGCATTCCTAATATAAACCCAATCTTTCAATAAATCATAGTATATAATATTTGTAATAGCTGTTTTAGACTCTTTCCTTACATTTTATTTACATTTTTGCATTAATTTTGATTAGACATATTGGTCTACTCTACCTTCCCTTTTTTTTCTATTTTTCCTATATATATTTTTTAATGTATCTGGCTATATTTGTGTTACAGATACAATTTGGTAAGATTATTTTTCTTTTGCTATTTCTTTAAAAAATTATGCAATATTAGAATTGGTTTTGAATGTCTGACAGAATTCACTTGTGTGTTTATCTGGTGCTATAATTTTGTGGTTTTTTTTTTTACTTTGGAAATCATTTATTTATGGTAGTACATTATATGTTCATAATGGTAGCTCTGTGTCTGTGTGCTGTGTTTCCTTAGTGCCTAAGCTAGCTTCTTGTACTTAATAACTGCTCAGTAATTTTTTTTTATCATGTGTCATGGGCGATGATGATCATCATGATGATCATATACATGGGTAAAGGAAAAAAAAAACAGTGGTAGCAAATGGGATTTACTTATTGTAGAATCTCATATCAACACTAATTCCTTATGACTCTTTTTGAAGATGTTTATGGGACCATCAAAGTTGGTTACTCCTGAAGTGTTTCATCAACATCAACTATTGAAGTTACTGATAAGCAACCATCCAGACTGAAAATGAATTTTAAGATGAAAATTTTTTGATATGAGGTGATATCAAATAAGAGATTACTGAAAACTTCATTTAAGAGATTTGTATATCTACCAATAAAATCAGTACTTTTAAAGTTAAAATAGATAATAGCTTTGAAAGGACAAATTTTACTTTACGCAGTAAAGAAGAGTCAGTAAAGAATCCATGACACGAAATATCTCTTAAAAATGAATCTCCTGATGAATTCCTTGCAAAGATTCATAAAATTTTAAAATTCATAGAGATATTAAAATCTAAGGAAAAGTTTAGAGGGGGAAAAATGTTGAATTACAAATAAGTAATTTTACTCCAACTGTAAACAGAGCTATCTTGGTCATTCCTAATGCTGGAAAATATTAACAGGTCTGATTTTCTTTGTAAGTAATACTTTCTATCTTGTAACTTTATTCATTTATTTATCTATCTATTTATTTATTCATGTATGTATGTATATATGTATGTATGCATGTATGTATGTTTGTATGTTTGTATGTATTTGGCAATTGGGGTTAAGGGACTTGCCCAGGATCACACAGCTAGTAAGTATCAAGAGTTTTGTACAAGGCCAAATTTGAACTCGTGTCCTTCTGACTTCAGGTCCAGTGATCTATCTACTGTGCCACTTAGCTGACCACTATCTTGTAATTTTAGCTGCAATGGAGAAACTCTATCCATATTGTTAGATGATTAAATACATTATATTTCCATGAATCATATTTAGACATGAAATAATAATATAAAGACAGTATAACTCAGAAATTAGGGTAACTTTATTACAAACTAATATATTTTCATTAACTAATACATAAGATATTGATTTTTAAAAATTAGGCATTGTGAGTTTGATCTATCTTATGGATCCATTTGACATTTTTTTCTCATTGGCTTGTAAGATAATTTACATATTTCATGTTATCCTGGGAAACTTAGTTTAGGTGCTCAGCACCAGGGTGGATTTCTGGGCCTGTTTTGTAGATATAGTACTGAATTACCTATTCGGAACTTGGTTCCCCATGGAAATAAACTGTAGACAGTTAACAATAAAATAACATTTATGGTACTTGAAACAGTAATAGTTACAGGTAAAACAATAAAAAGTTTCATTAAGCTTTTATTTTAGGACATTTTTCAATACACTGAACATTACACTTTTTTTAAAATTGCCTTGAAATAAGAATTCAACAGCAAGAGGAAAAAAAGTCCATTATAGAATGCAAGAACTATTTCTCTTGAAATGAATACAAAAGTTAATAATTGTGAAATACTCCTGTAAAACAAATAAACTTGTATTACTTATTAACCAAAAGTTCAAGTAATAAATTATTTTTAAATTTTGATGGTTAATAGTAGCATTCTCTTATCAAATGATTGGAGAACAACATTTATAAGGCCAATTTATGTTAAAAATTATGTAAAGGATATTAATGCTGAAATAGAATAATTATTTATATTGTGCATATTTAACTTCATTAGAATGCAAAAAATTTGATTAGCTTCATCAACACATAGCTATGATTATATTGATTCTACACAGAAGTGTCACAATGTAATCCATGACAACTTCCTAAGAATGACTATTGAAATAAAATTGAGTATCCAAAGTCTTCTCAATTAATATTTATGTATTCATTAGTTTCAATTTTAGGAGACTGTTCTTACAAAAAAAAATTTTAAAGATACAACTGCTCTATATGTTTAGGGAAATATACCCAAATGTGTTTCTTATTTTAACTTCTTTAGCTATGTATTTTCTTTACTTCTTTCTTTAGCTAAGGTATTATAAAAATATTATCTATCCAAGTGTTTAGTTAATACTAGCTATAGTTAAAAAGTATAAAATTAGGCTATAAAACATTGAAAAAGGAGTGCTTTTTAATTTCTTGGGACATTAAATGATTTTTTGAAAACTTAATGTATTAGGAACTTGGAATAATTAAAGACCATGAAACCAATTTTAAGGAAGCATTTTCCAGAATTTTGAGATAGAAATATCCATTCAGTACCACACATTTATTTCTAAACATATCTATGGGTTCAGCTGTTGTTTCAGAAGCTTCCAGATTCTTTCAGTTGACCTGATTAGTCTTCTATAGCAAGGTAAATCATAGGTAACTGATTTGATATAAAATCAGGGATGAAATTGTTTCAAGATAAGTTCTGCCCTCAAAATATGGAGACCTAGTCTGAATTAAAGGTTACTCAAATAATAGAAAATTTTTTTCTTGATTAAAATTGTATTCTACTTTTGAAATGATCCAATATATGAAAATTGAAATGGCCCAAAAAAATCCTGCTTTTCAATTCAACAAAAGTTTAGAAGATTTCTTAGTGAATTTAAGAAGTAGTTTATTAAAATTTTGATTTAATATAAATTTGAAGGAAAATACCAAATAGATGGCATCTTAAAAATAATGTAAGTAATTATACTTTCTTCAATGTACAGACTATTTCAGTGAGAGACTCTTCTGCCACATAAGTTACTGACTGGCTTAATATGCCATTATCTCACCTGAAAGGCTAATCTAGGCAGATTTTCTTTAAGCTAAAGGAGGGATTGCAAGGTACTCTCTAGCATATTGTAATTAGCAGTTCTGTGTATGTTACTTGGAACACTTAAATCTAAATGTGCAAATTAGTATGTATGAGCAAATCATAAATGAAGGCATTTGACTATAAGACCTCTGATGTCTTTTCCAACTAATGTTTTATGAGTTTATTCCATGAAATCAGCATATAAATTTCTGAAAGTTTACACATTCTTTATCTGAAAGTGTATGTGTGGGGATATTCTTTACCTTGCAAAAGTGGATGCATTTGGGATGCTGGACTTTACATAGAATCATATTTCTAGAACCCTTAAAAGACTACAGAAGCCAACTAGTCCAACTTTATCATTCTACAGTTGAGGAAATTGAAGCCCAGATAGGTCGTGACTTGTCCAAGGTTTTGCAAGTTGTAACAAGAGAAGAGGGTTTGGGATCCATGCCTTCTTACTCCAAAGCATTTTTTTTTACTATAGTGCCAAACTATCACTAAGGATATGTCTCTGTTACTTACTATCTGTGTGACCTAGAGTACCTCACTTAAACTCTGAATCTCAATTTCCTCATTGTAAAACCAAGGGGGTGAACTAGATTACTTCTAAGAGCTTATGTCTAAATTCTACAAGAAGGAAAACGTCTTCAAAGACAAATCTATAGATTCATATTTCAGACACAGTCATGTTCATTATCTACTTGATTAAATCTATATGAACAAATCTATTGTTCCAATAAAAATAATTTGTAACTTGCTAAGTTTAAGGGAACATTTATCAATTCAATTTGTCTTGGTAAATATTTTTTCCACCAATAATATACTGGTTTTAAGAACATAGATCTTTTAAAGAATGTAATTCTAAGAAGTTGATAGGTGTCATAATGATCAGTGTTTGGCAAACAAATAAATCAACAGGCTTTATAAAAAAGTAAGTAAGCTGTATATCCCAGGCTTATAATTGATTTCATATGTAGAATAAAAATCAAAGTTAGTGGATAGCCAAAGGGCCAGAAACCAAATCATAACATTTAGAAGAAAAATAGTAGCTATAGTACCACCTTTTAACACATATGACTATATCTCTAATTTTTTCAAATAAATGAAAATGTTGATTTATTCTCTACTAGTTAATATTTTCATTTTTCACATTAAAAGTTGATGGTTCAGCCTAAAGTAATCTTTTGGTAAATTTGCTGATAAAAATGTTAATGAAAGCATTACATCATTAAAGACATAACTTTTTTGTCTCATATATGCATTGTGATGTGCAGGAGGTGAATAATAAACTGAAGCTTTAACTTTTTTCCCACAATCTTACAAGCTCTTGTCCCTACTTTTTCAAAGCACATTTAAAATTCCACAACTTTTCTCAGTGACAATAAAAGAGAAAGGTGAAAAATTTGAAGAAGTGATTTAGTAAAAAACCCCAAAATTCAGAGGGTATATAATTCACACTTGAAAACTCAACCTCTTTTTAATAGACAACAAGGTAGGTAAATTTATTTTATGCAAAAATTGTTAGAATTGGATAAAATGCTTACAAAATATTCTATAATATTTGGCATTTTATTAAAACAGGTGTGTTTGAGGTGCTTCCAATTAATTTTCCTTTCTATATTGTTTCTATACCTTTTTCTTCTATTCTAATTTGACAAACACATATATCCCCATGTGCTTCATGAAATACACTGGTCTCCTTCCTCTTCATACTCTGCTTCTGTGGAGTCCTCAGAAGTATATTTAGCACTCAATTTGATTCCATATGCAGGGCTCACATTCTTTGGTCTCTTGAATCTGGAAGGGGAAAAAAAAAGGAAACGTGAAAATGACTAGACTATCCAACAAAGAGTACCTGTCCTCAGACACTTGACACTTACTAGCTGTGTGACCCTGGGAAATATTCTTAAGTATAAAAATACTATAATTATTTTTTTGCTTGATCTAGAGTTAGGAAGACTCATCTTCCTAAGTTCAAATCTGGTCTTACACACTTACTTGTGCTGTGACCTTGGACACTGAAAATGTTTTTCCTTTAGTTTCCTCATCTGTAAAATGAGCTGGAGCAGGAAATGGCAAACCACCCCACATCTTTGTTAAGAAAACCCCAAATGAGATCACAAAGAGTCAGACATGATTGAAACAATGGAACAACCACAAAAATTAATTCTTCTTGATTTTACTTAACCAAATTAAAGCTTAACTTAGGTATCTTAATTGATCTTTCACTTTACTTGAACCCTAGTATATACTTTTACCATCAGTTGTCCGCTCTGCACATGAGTGTAGGGCACAATGACACTTCACCATCACAAGACAGGGAAGGGATATTTAAAATAAACCATATATGATGAGGTGTATAAATGAGGAAAGAAACCTAAAACAATCATCTAGGCAAGGAAAGGGGGTGTGGGAGGCAGAAATGGGGTCTCAAAATAAGTCAAAATCTATCTATTTCAATGTTAAATGCACAGTGACTATTATCTCATTTCTTTAGGAACAGAACTTTGGGCTTTACAATTAGATGAAATATTTTCTAGGACAGATATAAACCTCTTGTTTAAATAAATAAGAAAATGAACAACCATGTAAACCTGAACTGATTCATTCTTTCCATAAATCAGAAAATTTTAGTAAAACAGATATTAGACAGACAGACAGATAGATAGATGGATAGATAAACAGAGCACAAAGTGGAAATTTGTAATATATAGAGCTATGCCTCAAAATTCATAGAGAAACATATATATGTGATAGTGACACACATGTACATATACACATAAACAACTGAGCTCAACGATGCAAATGAATAATAATACTTTTTTTTTTGCAAGGCAATCAGGGTTAAGGGACTTGCCCAGGGTCACACAGCTAGTAAGTGCTAAATGTCTGAGGATAAAATTTAACTCAGGTACTCCTGACTTCAGGGCTGGTGTGCTATACACTGCTCCACCTAGCCGCCTTCTTTTTTATTTTTATAAAAAATGATATATGTATACATATATTACATATATGTAATTACATACATATATACATATATAAATATATATTTACCAATACACATATATGCACTGTATATATGCATTTGCAGCCATGTGCAGGTATGGATGCTTATATATATATATATATATATATATATATAATTTTAAAATTTAAATGCATATGCATGTATACATATATTATTTTTAAATTTTGCATTATGCAAATTAAGTGTCTATATCAGTTAACTCACAAGAAAAATTTAAAATTTTCATTTCACCTTGGGGGCAGTTATGTGCTGTAAAGGATAGAATTTTGAGCAAGGATTTATGAAGAGCTGAGGTCAAATATGGCCCCAGACACTTAATAATGGTGTGACTTTCAGCAAGTGATGTAAGCTCTGTTTGCCTCACCTTCCTAATCGATAAAATGAGTGTAATAATAACACCTACTTTCCAGGCTTGTTGTAAGGATCAAATTAGATATGCCCAAATTTCTTTGCCAGATCTACAAGGAGCAAACTCAGTGTATGTCCCTTGAACCCCAGGCCCCCAACACTATGTGAAGGCAAGAGAGCATCTCTCCCAGACCTGACCAGCTAAAGCCTCTTCCTTTTTCTCCCTCTACCCAGAGCCTCCCACATATACCTGTTTGTTTTTCATATATAAACATTTTCATTTTTTTAAGAGACAAACATATGTATAAAAATATATAGATATATTTATCTATGTATATACATGTGTGTATAAGTAATGTTATACATATTATAAACATATACTAACAAAATATTATCTATATGTGCATATGTCTATGCATATAGACATATGCATACATGTGTATATATGTACATCTAAATATACGCAAGATATTTTAGATTAGACAGACAGACAGACAGATAGATAGATAGATAGATAGATAGATAGATAGATAGATAGATATCCTACCCTCCATGATATATAACAGTAACAAAGGGAAGGTATTCTACTTAAATTGCATATTTATCTTAATACAACTATGAGATACTTAGGGAAAGGTAAGTTTAAATCTGATGTCATTATTTAGTGATAATCTCCACGTCAGAGTAGATATTGACCTTGGATATCCATATTCTGTGCTAAGTGTCACTACCACTGTCAGCTTAGAAGTTACAGATATCCCTTTCATGGTGATATTTTAAATTGTTATTGGAAAAACAACAGTCAGGGTGAAGGACTGCTGCCCATGAGAGATTTTGTAAACAGAACCTTTGGAAACAAATTTAAGAATGGCATGGAAACTGAAGGAAGGAAATTATCTAACCTCAGGCACTTCACATTCTACATCCTTGTTTGTTCTCCTAATGGATTATCTCACTGCCAAAAAGGATACTTTAATCCCAAAATTTCTGGCTCTTCCTCTCTCTATACAGTGAACCCAGATTCATGATTCTAGTAGTAGGTCCCTCAGGTTCACTGTTTCCTTCCTTAATGATGTTCTTAATGATGTTGGCCAGACCTCGCCACACTCTCCTGAAAAGTTGCAGAGTAGACATGGCTGCACACGCAGCTTGGATATGTGGGGAGTAACTAATTATACTCCTTCCAATATGATGGTGGATAACTAGTACCAAGTGTACTTACCCTCCAAACCTGACACATGGCCATCTGACCAGCCAATGCACTTAAAAGAACCCAAGATCTTTCTATTTGCCCTATAATTCATCTTTCTTTAATATATTGTTTACCCCAATTAGAATGTAAATACTTAAGAATAGAAACTCTCATTTTTTTTCTAATTATATCCCTCAAACTTAACACAGTGACTGCATCTGCATCCTATCTGTTTCTCTCTCTGTCTCTTTCTCATATGTGGTAAATGATTTGGCTACCATACTTAATCCTAATTAAATCATCTGTGGACACAAAATAAGGTTGTTATATTAAATTATTATTCTAAATACTTTAAAAATTATATACATACATATTTAGAAATATAGAGATGATTAAAGGTGTTCCATTTTGAACATTACAATTTGATCCTCATATCCAGAATTAGCAAAATATTCTTAATGATTATATGGTTCAACAAAATAATTTACTGTATTTGTATTTAAATGCAAAGTGTACTTATTACTAAATGACCTAGAAAAATGTTCTAATACCTATAATTTGCCTTTCTACTAGTATCCCATCTGACAGAAAGCAAATTGTTGGTGCTATTGTTATAGACATGTATTTGAAGGCATCCAAGCTTATTTGATAAAATATCATTTTAGTTTCCAAGGCAACAAAAAAAAAATACACAGTGTAAGCATACTCTTCCTTTATATCTCAAGAGAACCAGAAAATTAGGGAATTAAAAGAGAAAACAGCCAACTCAAAGCCATGAATAAAAATGATACAGCCAACATACTGTATCCTATTCCCTTGGAATACACATAAACTGCATATTTAAAAGCAATTTAATTTATCTTGCAATATAGAAACCCTTTCAAATGGAAATACATAGACCATTTCTATAATGGCCCTGGCTTTCAGTTGTAAAATCTCAATTATCAAAGCTAATGGGCCCTCATGAAACAGAGTAGTGAAAACATACTTGGCAGTTTGCTGCCTCCCTAATATCTTTAACAGATTAATAAAGACACAAATTAATTTTAGCCAATTATCATGCTGGTAGTCTTAATTGATGAAAATGGTATAGAGTTTGCTTCAAACTGATAGCAACCCAATACTTTGTTTATTAAATTGAACATTATTTTGAATAATGGGTTTTTTAAATGTTGCTTTATAAAAACACGAACGAGTACATGTTATGAATTTATACTGAAAAAGTGCCCATGGTAGCTGAACTCCACATTTTCATTAAAGCAATGCTATTTGATTAGGAGGTTAGAGTTCTTTATTCCTAAGTCATCTGGAAATCAACCAGGCATTTTAAAAAAAATGCCTCTGAGAGGCACTGCAATAGCAAAATATATGTACCTTATTGTCCTCATGTACCATCATCTTAACTCACTATGGTTTAATTCATTATTACCTCTACCTGGAACACTCCAGTAGTCCCTTTCCACTTTCTCCACTCTCCATTCCAATCCATGTGGACCACTTTTGCTAGATTTACCTTTCAAAGATACTACTATTGTCATGTCACTACTTACTAAAAAAATTCCAGTGGTTTCTGAATTCCTACTAAATAAATTTCATACTGCTATGCCTTGCATTCAAGATTCTCCACAATCCAGGCCCAGGTTATCTCCATATTTGTACCCCTAGCTGCTTAGCATCTCTAAACCTTAGTTCCAGCCAAACTGGTTAATTCATTTCTCTCTCTTGTATGTGTGTGTTCATACATACATACATGCATGCATATAGAAATATACATATGTATATATCTGTGAATGCATATAGCTGTGTACATGTATATACATGCATATATATATATATATATACATACATATATAGCTATTTATTAGTCATTTTGCTGACATCACACTGATGTTTAGTTGTCATACCATTCTTTCCTTTTGTCTTTGCCTATACAATTCTATCCACTCCTGACAGTTAAAAAGGAAAATAAACATACACCATCAGGGTAGAAAGTTCCTTTAGAGGTCATCAGAATTAATCTCCCCATTTTATAGGTGATAAAACTAAAGTTCAGACAGTTAAATTGTCATAAAGTTAATAAGTGTTACAGTAAATTTTCCAATACAGGTATTCTAGTGTCATGATCATTAGTGAGCATAGGTTCCTCAAGAATAATTCTAGATTGGTAGATAAAGGAAATTCTCTAGTATTAATAAACAACAAAAATATCAATAAGGCAAATGAAAAATT